TTACTTTTTATTCAGGTCCACATGGAGCGGAGATAAACTGCCACAGCGATTCGGTAGAAATCGGTATTTCGACAGTGAATCCATTTCACGGACACCTCTACGTTCCAGGACAATTTCATCGTCCGGAATGCGTTGCTACTGCTCGTAACTCAACTTCAAAAGAAATTCGACTCTCAATTGGCCTTACAAGTTGTGGTATCCAGAAACAGTTCAAGGTTTTTTTTTAATTTTAATTGGAATTTTTATTTTTGGTTTAGCGTAACCCAGGCAAACACACGATTCCAGAACTTCACTTTCTCTTGTTCTGAACTTTAAATGAGCTAATTTGCTGTTATCATATCTCTCTTTCAGTTAAATCCAAAAGGAGCACTTTTCGAAACAAGTGTCGTGCTGAAATTTCATCCTTTGTACAACACAAAAACGGACAAAGTATTCAAAGTGCAATGCTTCTACCCGGAAAAAGCACCAAAACTACCCAAGCAATTCCAGGATAATCGCATAGCTATCAGCGAAAGGTTATTTCTTCTTCTTTATAGCAAAATTCGCAGAAATTGTGCAAAAAAAGCAGCGAAATCAGGCTAAGTAGGAAATTTTGTATCCAAAAAATGAAGTTACGCCCAACTAGAGCGGTAGACAATCATTTCTGCCTAACTTTCCTTTAGGAACATAGGGTTGGTATGATTTTAAGGACTCTGTCAGCGCTGCGATCAACAGTATAAACATTTTTCAAGGTTTATCACACACAAAATATATTATATTTTTGCTACAAAAATGCTTTTTCTCAAATTTTTTAAAATTTTGTGAAGTCTTTTTTTTTTTCAAAAATTTGAAGGCTAGATTTTGGGCTTCACAAAAGCTCACTGTTTAATAAAAAAATATTGCAGTAATGAGCTGCAAATGCCGTGCTCTTACAAATTAATATCAAATTCGAAAACAACGGATCAGTGTAAATTGGGCGATGTGCGGATTGGCGACCAAATTGTTCATTCCTGGGAATGTGAAAAAGGTGCAGCCTGTTTTTGACGATTCATTATGTTTTGTGTATATTTATTGAGGAAACGCTATATTAATCTAGAAATGTTGTTTGTCCAATTAAAACAACTAAGAGGGATATCAGACCGAAATACATTCGAAAAAATAATTCGCCCATTTGGGCAGGCCTCCGGTCATGCCTCTTAGTAACTACATCTTAGTAACATCGAGAGCTTTCTGGTAATTGTCCATGGGACTTTATCCGCCGCTGTTAAGGACGCCACTGATATGCGTTTAATGCCTGCAAGTACGATGTTGATAACTGATAATGGCATTGCAGATTCGTTTGACACTTATCAGTCGATGCTTGTTCATAGCTGTGTCCTGATCGATCCCAGTAATGGATTCAACAAAACAGTCATTGATTCTTCTGGGTAGATTTCTGATTTTCAACGCTACAAATTGACGCTACATTAGTGGCTAGA